AGAACAGCTGTGTGTAGCAGTAAGACTTTTCATACACTCGTATTCGGGTTTTTGACATTCGAATCTCGGTCGGGTTGTATTAGACGTTTTTCTAAGCCTCTTCAGGCAAAGTTTTGGATGTGTAACTTTTTTATTTTGTTATTTATTAAAACTCTTACTCTCAGCTTTGTGTAATGCATGCTTCCCACTGAAAAGATAAGAGCTAAAGTGTATTCTTTCCGACAAACTTTTAATATAAATTTCTAACGAAACCACACCACAAACCAATTATATCCAGCGGCTTATCCGTCAATGTTTCCAAGTAAAAATACAACTGTCAACGCGATTAACAATCACGTTACAAATTTCTTTCTTCTGGGTTGTTGCGCCGTGTAGTATGGTAGATGTTTACCAACGTTTCGGAGGCAGTATGACCTCAGGAACGTTGGTAAACATCTACCAGACTACACAGCGCAACAACCCCGAAGACAGAAATCTTCGTACTCACCGCTGTGAAAACCTCAAATCATACAATCACGTTACAATCGTTCAGTGATGTTTCGAAGCGGACAGAGCCGACGCTGACACAAGGGCTCGTCAGATCTCGATGGCACCTAAATGGTCCGGTGGTCCACTGGGTCATTCTCCAGTATAAAGGCCATCAAGTCGGTCGGTTGGTAATTACTCCAGCAACAAACAAACCGTGATAGCAGGCACGATCTCATTTGTCAGGTTTCCGAACTAGTAGCGCACTACGGTGTTACCTGTGGGGTGCCGATCACTGGGCGTGCCTCTTTTCCGACCTGCCGCTAACGTAATCCAAATCATTTGGTATAACTAATCTGACATGGGATTTAAACTAACATTCTAGAATTAATCTCTTGTTTTGTCAGTTTGTGACAACAGAGGTGCCAGTGTTTGAAAACTTAAAAGGTTTATAGAGAAAGATGTTACGTATTAAAACCCTTTTCGACAAAAGATTTTATCTTCTGCTTGAATCTTGTCGGTAACGTTTGTAATATTTTTGGGGGGAATTCGACGTCTTGACAGGAAGACTTTCTTCCTGTCCGTGATTGGGGTAACTTCCATGTTCTAGTAGTCGAGAGTTCAGGACAGTTCTTGTATTTCAAAACAATAGATTCTGTGAAGAATTTGTTGTTTCTTCTTTCATTAAAATGTTTGTTCAGTCAAAGGGGGTTAGCAGGAATTATAAATTAATACTTTTGTTACAACTGAACTATATTTTCCTGTGATATTTCACCTTCTCACGGCGACGAATATGAAGATGGCTGTCTTCAGGGGTGTTATACCGTGTAATCTGTTGACAGAGACAGTAAATTCCTCTGAAACGTCGGTCAATATCTACCAGACTACAAGGTGTAACATCCCATAAGACAACCATCTTAATTCTGAGTGCGTGTTAATTTTCACAAGCATATTTGCCGATTACATCAATATCAAACCAAGTGTCACCCAAGTAGTTTCCTCTCGTGCTTCGTATTAGGTGGGTCCTGAGTTCGGATCTTGGCCCTAGAACCAGGACTCCTGACAGACGTTCTTCGTGGTTATCGCCATATGAACGAAAGATACGTGTAGGTTCCGTAAGGGCGAAATATTGTTTTACTTTCTACAATACATTTAATATTTCTCAAATATGTTTTAACACACAGAAGTTCGTAATTCTACTGTACATTGTAATAAACGATAAACCACCTTTGGATTACAGTTTTGTTTTGGAAATTTTAAATTCAAAAGTTGGGATGGCTTCAACTGACATTCTGTAATTGCCAGATTTCTTAAAAATGTCTTTAGTTCCTTCTAGAATCATTAAAATGCACAGAACCCATTTTCCGGTAAAAATGATGGAAGTAGTTAACAAAGCATCTTTAATTAGGAGAGATAAAACAAGTGGGGTATAAATGATGTTTGGAGGACCTTTGTGGTCTTTTCTTTGTATGTTAACTCTGGCAATAACTGGACAATGAGGTCAGTAGGGTGAGATTTCAAACAATACATTTTCAAACCCAAATATTAGTTTGAAATACACTTTTCCTACCCTGTTGAATGCAGTTTAGATGAACCTCGACTTTATAGAGTTACGAGGCCTTTTGAACCTATAAGTTATATTCTAAGACATTTCTGAACTTAAAGATGCAAAGCTTTTGCCACAATTTAGCAAAACTTGTTGTTTGGTGCAATTTCTGCTTATTTCTATTTTAAAAGTGAAGTATTTTGATACAGAACTTCTTCTTTGCAGGCTCTTGATCACAGCCACCATTTCTGTTGCGGTTTCACAAACCAAAGAATTAAATGGGAACAAGAAATATCCACTGGAGGTGAGTTTCCTTACATATTTCCATATAAATAATTAAATAATTTATAGTATACCGCTGAAAAATTGTGTTCCAGATTTGCAGCATGATTATGGTACGATCACAAAATAATGACAAAAATTAGACGAACTAAATCGAAAATATACTAGACTTGCGCGGTAGACACCGTATCTAGGCAACGAGTGTACTCGAAGTTGACAGTGGAAGAGTTAATGTCGATGTGTTATCTGTAGTGTATCCTTTTTGCATCTAAATATGGTGACGAAACATAAATCATACAAGGTCGAAATTGCCTTTTCATGAATTTTTCACTCGCCTTTGTAATATTTACAAGTTTCAGAATCAAAGTGTAGCAGCCAGAGTACCTGATCTGCATTCGTGTTATTATTGCAGTAGGCTTCAGTGACAGACTTACACTACATTTTATTATGACTAACTCACTCTATGAATTGGAGTCCATCTTGAGAAGCTAATAGTACACTCAGCTAGTCAACAAGGGCCCCACTTTAAATTTTCCTTTCCTTAGGTCGTACCAAAGAACCATTTTAATTACGAGGTCCTGTGTAACATTTTCTAACTTACTTTTTTTACAGCAGGGAGTTGTTAGTTTCCGCCCAACCCCCAAGCTAGAAGGCCACCAGTGTCAGCTGTCTTGCGACTATTTGTTTAACCCTTTCAAGCCGAAAAAGAGAGAGAGAGATAGGAAGGATAGAGTGAAAGCAAAGAGAAAATTGGTGGGGGAGAAGTGAGCATCTTATAGTTAGAAGATCCCCAGGCAATAACCGCTCGTCCTTCTGGTATGGATAGAGTAAAAGTGAAGTCGTTAGGGCGATAAGTAGTCATAGTTCGCTAGCAGAGACGGCAGAATTTTGATTTGCTGTTTAGTGAATGTTGAGTTAAGTTAATGAGTAAGTAATTTAGGGGCATTCACTGTAAGAGGGTAAAATGTATTAATTTTCCCTGATGCCACTGATGATGACCTCTTGAGGTCGAAACGCGTATGGCAATAGTGTCTATTATAGTGTTAATAGTTGTTGGTTTGTTTACTCTATATTCTAATACACTACGCGGTAGGCAAAGTTTTAAGGGTAAAATTTGATGAATTTAAATCGGGAGAGCTTTATGAGAAGCATGCAGTGACAACTTCGAACTTGGGGTGTCATCACGAAGGGCCTGTAAATAATATCTAAGAATCCAGTCTGTACCGCAAAGAAAACGCAACTATTCACCATTACAAAGATCAAATGGTAAATACTGTTTTTAAGTTAATAAATGCTGGATACAGTGAGAATCGTATGAAAGACAGAAATATGAATCGAAGACTTAGTGATTATTGAAGCAGGTGGAGTTACCATTTGGCTTTAAAGGGTTAATATTCTCATTTACCCTCCCTATTTGAAGACTGTCTCCATTAGCAGCCTGAGGACACGCCATGTTGTGGCGACAAGAGACCCACTTAACGCGGTTATGTGCTTTATGAAAAGGAAATTTGCCTCGTCTTTTGAAAGGCAAGGAACTTGTTGCGTCAGGTAGATCCAGCGAGCTGCTGAATGAATATAAAGGAATTGTTAAACAGCTTGTTTCAAACTGTCTCTGCTCACGTTGATGGATGTATTGGATTACATGCTTTTAAACAGACCGTCTGTCTGTTCGTTTTTCATTCATGGTAATGCTCCTTATTCTTATATACTTCCATTTGAATTACATATGTGAGAATGTACAATATGCAGCAGATGAATCTATGATAATGCAACATTTCCTTCGACAATGGATTATCATCTGAATTCGTCATATGACGGGCATATTACAATGCGAACGCAAACAATGCCAGTGACAAGCATTGACACGATTTAAGGTTTATCCTCCATGCGTCACTGTATGTCCGATTTATGAAGTAAAAATTACATTTCATAACGCCATCGTATAAGATCTTTCTTTTTTCTTTCAAAAGACGAGTTATTTTCCTGATCTGCAGCGGACAATCAATCGCACAGTTAATTTTGAAAAACAAACAAAATCTATCGAATTATACGACTGAGGAAGAGATATTAATTGTCTTCTAGTAGTAGTATTTGAGGATTTTATGGTTCCGAGAATAAAGATTGTTGTCTTAGGTTTGTAGGACCGAGTAGTCACCAGAACTGACAATAGAGGCAGCAGGGACCTTTGAAATTTCTACAAGACTAAAAAACTACAATCCATAAGACAGCCGTCTTAACAGCTGTCTGATGTTCTAATTTTGTTTTAAAGACAATACTTGTCGAACTCCAGGACCATAATTTATTCTTTAGTTACTAATTAACAAGCCTATGACTGTGAAGAGAGAAGTGCTATATAATATTCTTATTGAATTTGGTATACCAAAGAAGCTAGTGGGTCTAATAAAAATGTGCTTAAATGAAACCTGTAGTAAAATTCGAGTAGGTAAATATGTATCTGAGACATTCCTCATCAAGAACGGTCTAAAACAAGGAGATGCTTTGTCTCCCTTGCTCTTTAACTTTGCGCTAGAATACGCCATCAGGAAGGTCCAAGGTAGGCAGGAGGGTTGGCAATTGAACGGGACACATCAGCTATTGGCATATGCTGATGATGGTAATTTATTGGGGGACGATATAAATACAATAAAGAGGAACGCAGAAGTTTTACTAGAGGCTAGTAGACAGGTGGGGCTAGAAGTAAATTCAGAAAAAACTAAGTACATGTTAGTATCTCGTCATCAGAAGACAGGCGAGCAAAATTATCTTAGGGTGGCTAATAAATCCTTTGAAAGGGTTACAAAGTCCAAATATTTGGGAACAACAATAACAAATCAAAATGATACTTGTGAGGAAGTTAGGAGGAGACTAAATTCCGGAAATGCTTGCTACTTCTCAGTCCAAAATATTTTGTCTTCCCGTCTGATTTCTAAGAACCTGAAAATTAAAGTATACAAAACAATAATCTTGCCTGTTGTTTTGTATGGGTGCGAAACATGGTCTCTCACTCAGAGGGAGGAACACAGATTGCAGGTGTTTGAGAATCGGGTGTTGAGGAGGATATTTGGGCCTAAGAGGGAAGACGGTGGGGCGTGGAGAAAACTGCACAATGACTAGCTTAAAATCTGTACTGCTCCCCCAGTATTGTGAGGGTGATTAAGTCGAGAAGAGTGAGATGGGCGGGACATGTAGCGTGCATGGATGGGACAAGAGGTGTGCACCGGGTACTGGTTGGGAAACCTGCAGGGAAGAGACCGCTGGGGAGACCTTGACGTAGATGGGAGGATAATCTCAGGCGGGATCTATGGGGGATAGGAGTTGAAGGAAACTGGATTTTGTTGGCCCAGGACAGGGTCCGGTGGAGGGCTTTGGTTAATTCGGTGATGAACCTTCGGGTTCGGTAAGCCATCTAGTTAGTTAGTTAGTTACTAATTAACTCAATGCTACAGTTTCATGAAATTATTTAGATGGTTAATTAATTTCCCTGCTCTTATGCATTAATGTTCATCATCGTGTACTCAGAAACCCGCCTTTAAACTTATGATAATCCAGTTATACCCATTCGACAACTTGTCAACACTATTTTACTGACATCCATTTTAATATTGTCTCGCGGTTTCACGTAAATATCTAAAATGGTTTCTTCCACTGGTATTTTCGGCCAAAACGTTGTTCTACTTTTCTACGCGATGAAATTCTTCTAAATTTAGTTTACCTAATACTATTTTCTGAGGACTGAAAATTATTAAGCTCCTCATTATATGATTTGATTGTTACGATACTGGGGATACTGGGAACGACCCGTTCTTCAAGTGCCTGAGCACTGCGGGTCCCAACTTTACGTTGGCTTTGATCTATAGACATTCGTTAGGACTCCTTGGACGAGGTGATTGTTACGAACTACATTATTTTCACTTTAGACTTTTCACATAGTCCATGAATGCCCAGAAATTGTTACATTTCAGCTCTTTTCCCGAGTTAAGAATCTCTGCTGTGCTTTCTGGTTACATATGGCGCTGTTATTCAGAAAGTCGGTTATTCTATGAATTAAAATTAGTCTGACTTGTGTTTTATTAACTGCAGCTCGTTCCTAACCTGCACGCTGCTGCTGTTTGTAAGGTTACTGCATGTCTCAATTTTCTGTTGCCCCATGTAAGGCCTACAAATCCCCTGCTGTTCCAGTAATTCTTACAGGTCTGACGTTCTCTTGCGGAGAAGCGTCTACTACTGTGTGTATTAATGTTGGCATGCTCGTAACTTGCTGTCTCCTGCTGCTTTCATGTACTTTCTTCCTACAAACCATCACCAGGAACAGCAGTGTTACGTTAACTTAACCATTAACACTGTATCAATTTATTCCTACGTTTATTTATAATTTCCCTTCCTTCTTTAAGCAGCGGGCAGAGAGAGATGATAAGAAATAATATTATACTGAAGACATAACAGAAGCGAATAGAATGAAACAGACCTACGAATAAATAGAACGGACACACTGAAAGTAATTCCATGTTAATTAATAGTTATTTGGCTCATTAAGAATTTTGTTATATTCACCACCTGAAATGTTATCGCCGTGTTCAAGTAAGTCTCCCGTTGTACCCCTGAGCCAATGAAATTTAGTAACTACCGCCAGATAACATTTTTGTAACCTCCCACCTGGTCGCATTTATTCCACGTGGTATTTTCTCTCGATGATTTAACAATTATTATTTATTACGTCCTTCATGCTTATTACATCTTTTCTATTTGACTATCCTAACAACATAAGTTCAAGAGTGCAAAGTATGAAGTTCCTAATTATATCTCTGTAATTTGTTGAAGTTCTTTGTATCATTTTAAGTCCAGATGTTTCTTCTCAGGTACTATAAACGTTTCTTTTTTAGCGCAGAGTAACATAGAAAGTGTCATACCCTTGAGTCTTAAAACAAATGATAATATTGCAGTTTTTATCATCATTCAGCCCTTGACCTCTTGTGGTTCCAAGGATTAGAAGTGTTTCTCTGTGCCCTTGGTCGGCTGTTTCTG